TTTCATCATCTATTGCAAGGTAAGTAATTCCCACATATTATTCCCTAATTACATGGATTCTATAAGGATTTTAATATGAAAATTAGTAGAAATTGTGAGATGTTGAAAGAAACTTTAGAAATTGATATTTTTAGATTTTTACCACGAAATTAGACATGAAATTTGGAATAAATCATATATTGAGTTCGTGGCATCATGGGTAAAGTTTATCTTCGAAAATATTTGGAATCCGGGAACGTGGCCCCGAGGGTTGACTTTTCGAGCAGAGTTGAGAATCATTATAAATTGTTAAATTATACGCATTGGAGTATATTTTGATTGATTTGCATATTGTTTGACTAGTTTCGGATCGATGGACATTAGTTTGAGGTGTTAGAGAGGCGTGAGAGCCTGTTATAGAACTTCGGAGCGAGGTAAGTCTCCTCTCTAACCCTGTGAGGGGGAATTTACCTTGTAGGTATTATATTCTTATGTGCTACATGTTGTGGGAGCTACACATGTATGAGGTGACGGGTGTCCGTGCGTATGCTAGAAATACTGATTATGTTCGGGTAGACTTAGGCTCACGCTATGTTATAATTTTACTATTTGAGTTATCTTTGCTAATTTAATTCTTTTATTTCGCGTTACGACTTGAGACTAGACTTGCATAGGGTGATAGACTCGCTATTTAGAGATTTGACAAGCTACTTGATAATCCGCAGAATAATTTGTGCTTCCCTCATGGATTTCTCCCGTGTTGTGCATACTTATTGCAAAGCTTTTCTTAAATTCCATAACTCACACGTATATTCGTGACTGGGGTCAAGGACCAGTTAAAGCCTTTTATTCTAATGGGATCGAGTCGTTCGCCTCGGTAGTATCATATTCTCATGGGAGCGTGTCATTCACCTTGGCAATATAATAAATGCATCTATGGTTCGTGCCGTTCGACCCTTGGCAATGTACACATTATTATGGGATAGAGTCGTACGCCTCGGCATTTCTATAAATACTCTTATGGGACCAGGCCGTTCGCCTCGGCAGCGTCGTGCGTAATATTTGGCAAGAAGCCATCGTATCCATGAGTTTTCTTGATTTGAGTTGTGACGATCTATCTGGTGGGGACCATTTTCCATATATACTCTGGTTGAGGAGGTGACCGATAATTGAGGGCTTGCATTTACTGTTTAGAGGAGGATCGTACCCATGCTTAAATTTGTTTACACTGTTTTTACCATGCCTCATACTTATTTACTTTCTGTTGTACTTGGTTTATTGGACCACTAATAAGTGTCGATGTCGACCTCNATATATATATGTTTCTGGTGGTCTTTTGGGCGGAGAGGCACGGCTATTGCGGAGACTTTACGGTGAGCTGCATTCCATGTTACAATCCGCAACATACAGAGTCTCCATCATAGTTATTTATATTATCTTATCTAATTTGTAATCCAGACAAATGTTGTATTATTATTGTACTCTTTAGTAGATGTTCATGCACTTGTGACACCGGGTTTTGGGGGTTCCTACTGTATGTTCATTATTTTAGTTCACATATTTATTATCATTTCACCTTGTAATTTATATTTTATATAAAAGTTAAAAATAAAAATCACGAATTTTCTGCGAGTACCAGACCTTACCCTACTTATTTAATGGGATTCATGATTTCAAAAATAATAAAATGAGTGACTAAGTTGATTAAGCACCATTGGCTTGCCTGAAGGCAGCGTTAGGCGCCATCACGACCTATAGTAAATTTTGGGTCGTGACAACCCCACACCATAAAGATCAAATCTTTATACGAAAAAAAAGAAATGGGTAAAGCGGTCACCTATAAACATTTGGCCCTGATTCAAGTTAAGATAAATTTCCAGTTTTCTTCCTATCCCTCATCTTACTCTAGCTCTATCAGCTGCCACACACTATAAAGATCAAATCATTATACAACAACAAAAACAACAACACAAATGACAATGCCTCAGTCCCAAATAAGTTAGGAGTAATGTGAGAAATCATCATAAATTGACTAGTTTTACGCTGCCTGCCAAAGAAAGGTCGAGGTAGGCCAAAAAAGTCTTGGGGGAAGTGATTAGGCGGGACATGGCACAACTAGAGCTTAATAAGGACATCACCCTTGATAGGAGGGTGTAGAGATCGAAGATTAAGGTAGTAGGTTAGTTGGTAGTCGAGCGTTCTCCCTATGTGTGCTCAGTTCGATAGCATTAGTGTTAGTATGATATCTCTTTATTCTTAGATTGTTATTACTACTTGGTGTTTACTTGCTTTCTTGGCTTCAGTTTTCTTGTTTTATCTTGTTGTTGTTAATACTTGTTTCCATTACTTTTTTTCATTCTTTTTTAGCCGAGGGTCTATCGGAAACAACTTATCTGCCTTCCAAATTAGGGGTAAGTCTGCGTACATCTTACCCTTCCCATACCCCACTTGTGAAAATTCACTGGATTGTTGTTCTTCTTGTTGTTTACGCGGGCGGCCAACCAAAGATCAAATCTTTATATAAAAGATTTTAAAAAATCAAGAAACGGGTAAAGGGGGCCACCTGTAAAAAGTGAGTCTTGAATCAAGTAAAGTAGCAAGAATGTCAAGTTTTTTTATATCCTTCATCTTACTCCAATTATCAACTACCAAACACCATAAAGATCAAATCTTTATACAATAACAATAACGCATCAATCCCAAACAAGTTGGGGTAATGCTAGGATTCATCATGAAATTGATTTGTTTTATGCGGGCTGCCAACCAAAGATCAAATCTTTATATAAAAAATTCAAGAATCAAGAAATAGGTAAAGTGGCCACCGGTAAATAGTGAGCCTTGAATCAAGTTAACAACGAATTTCAAGTTTTTTCCTATCCCTCATCTTACTCTAGCTCTATCAACTACCATACACCATAAAAATCAAATCTTTATACAATAATAACAACACTTGAGTCCCAAATGAGGATTCATCATAAAATTGACTAGTTTTACGCTGGCAACCAATCAAAGATCAAATCTTTATATAAAAATAAAATAAAAAATCAAGAAATGGGTGAAGTGGGCCACCTGTAAATTGTGAGCCTTGAATCTAAGTTAACAAGATTTTCAAGTTTTTTCCTGCCCCTCATCTTACTCTAGCTCTATCAACTACCATACACCATAAAAATCAAATCTTTATACAATAATAACAACGCTTCAGTCCCAAATAAGTTGGGGGTAATGTGAAGATTCATTATAAATTGATTAGTTTTACGCTGACAGCCAACCAAAGATCAAATCTTTATAAAATAAAAAAAAATCAAGAAATGGGTGAAATTAGTAACCTGTAAACAATGGGGTCTTGAATTAAATTAGGGTCACAAGACCTCAAGGGTGCCTCCATCATATCATGAAGTTGTTCATTAGATAAGCAGGGGAGTGCAGCCTTAAGCTTTGGAGCAGTTTCAAATTTGAGCTGAGATTGACGTCTCAAAAGTTGAGCGACATACACATTTGTGAGACCTGTTTCTTGTGCTATCTGACCATATGTTTTGCCAGATTTTTGTTTCTCTGCCATAACTCATAAGTGACGCCACCATGTTTGCTTTCTCCATTTTTTAGATTCTATTATATGCTGCTAATAGAAGAGGGATTGTGGATATGTATAGCTATAGGCGATGAATGATGATTAGTTTTTGGGACCCAATTATCCTACTTTGTAAAGTCCAATTTGAATTTTGGCTTTGACTGCCAATTGGACTTTTTGGTTTTTGTACCCAAAAAAACGCCAATCAAAATAACGCAATTTCATGTTAGATTATGTTTTTCTATCACTATGAATAAAACACAAGGTCAAACTTTAGATTTTGTTGGAATTTATTTACGAGAACCTGTAAATTCACACGATCAACTTTATGTTACCTTATCAAGAGTCAAAATTTCAAATTGTGCGAAATTATTGATCCGACCATCCACACCAACTAGCCATAACGAACATTCTACATCTAATATTGTTTATGATGAAATCATTAAGAAAGCAGCTGCCTGATGTTTTTGACCTAGGATTCTCCACATGTCCTTTGCTCTTTCCCTCTCTTATTATCCTGTGTACACAGTTTTCTGAATTTTTTTAAGGTTCTCAGTTTTATATCTAAAGTTTTTTCATGATTAGTCCTAATTTTCAGTTGTTTCAGCACTATCACAAACTTCAATTTCAGACTTGAGGGGATTGAGGATAATATCTTATGGACAATAAGATAAAAGATTTTTCGAATTTTATTAAACAGACATTACATTCTGCGATCACATTTCCAATACTTAAGGTTAGTCCTTTCATGCAAATAGAGCAATCATGTTATCGTATTAAAACTGTTGTTCAACACCCAACTAAAACACTCCCAGTTTGAGCACCAGCTTTGTCGTGGAGTAGAAATATAAAGCCACCTTCGCCATCCAAATACTCTGAGACCTTATGGTTACCTTTATGACCAGGTAAATTATGGTTCTTTCTGTAGCTTCTTCTGCATTGCTTGCTCTCAATTTTGGGTCTTAAGAAGAACTTTCAACAGACTGATGATCATACTTACTAATGCAGAAACGTGTGTATTTGATCCTGAAATATGCTGCCAAGAGTGAACATGCAATTATTTTAGTGAACGACGTATCACATGACTGCACCAAAAGAGGCTTTTAGCGGCAATAAATTTTCTTTTTAGCGGCAATAGTTATTGTTGCAAAAATATTTACCGGCAATTGATTAATTCCATTGGATCCAAAGTCGCTAAAGCCTCTATCAGCATTTATCCCAAATGATGGTAAAGATCCATTTTATTGCCGCTAAAAATAATTACTTTTAGTAGCATTTATTTAGCAACAATTACTATAGCCACTAAAGCTATCTAAGAACTGTACTATCCTACATAATATGCGGCTTTTGTTATTGCCGGCAAAAATACAATAATTGATAATAAAAGGTATATGTTTTAGTGACAATTGTTATGGCAGCTAAAATTGACCATAAATTCACCTCAATTCATGTATTTAACCAAGTACTATTTTATAATATCAAACATAAGAACAATCAGTTACAAGGTTCTTACTAGAAGAATTATCAAACTCATAATGTCATTCACTTAAAACAAGAACTATCAAACTCAACACACCAACTCATATAGCGACTTGTAAAAGATGCAAGTATCATAATGTACAAGACAACTAAACTTTAGGTTGTAGACCACATCCCTTATTAACAATGCGATGTTCTTGATCTTCTTCTCCCTTATTAAGGATGTGATATTCTCGACATCTATCTTTGCATGATCTTGAGTCAAATATTCTTGTTTAAATCCCTACATTCAATATCACACATTAAGAACTTCTTACAGATAAAATATATATTATGATACATATGAGAGCAAATCCAACAATATAGCGGGAATTAAAGTACTATTATTGTAGCATTTGAGAATCAATCATACTATGAATCAACTTGTAACATAATGTCTTGGAACAGTTTGTTAAGTTAGCATCATAATAAGATAACTAATCCTTTTAAGCAAGATGTCAAGGTATTAAACCAACAAAGAATTAAAAGTAAGATAACAGAGCCATGTTTGATATTATGCCTCTCAAATCATAAGACCACGTCTTCATGAAAAACAGAGAGATTCTAGAAGAACATGGAAATACTTTATTAATACAGTCTAAGCCTTAAAAGCAAACTATTCTGCAGAAAATAACTTTTGATATAGAGGCCTTTGTACCATTCCTAAATTTCATGACTTCAAGCTAAAACCAAAATCACCAGCTTTGACTATATATTCTTTAAGGTCAAACACAAGGATTGGCTTAAAACTCCTTGTTTAAAGACATGTTCATTGTACTTTGCTCTATCAAAATCTAATACAGTATTAATCTATCACTTATTGATGGAAGGAAATTTGTCCTATTAGAACTCATATCTTTAAGGTAATATAGAAGAAGAGTTGGGTCCCAAGTTCCAAGGAATTGATAATAGTGAGGAGAGTTAGAAGTCACTACTATGAAAAAATTAAGGATATGCCTTTCAAGTGTTTTCAGGATTCCAGCTACAAGAAATGATAAAAAAACAGCCGGAAGAAGAGACATAAAATTATGAGGATCACTCCATCATTTGAAGCCTCTACAGGTTATGATGCATTAGACATGAAAAGCACTACAGAGAAGCATACGTAGTGACGAGTGAGCCACAATGTGTGAAGTTAAAATGTGCATTTCATAGGCACGAGCATTAACTCGATAGCAGATGTTTAATCAAAAATTGTATAAAAAATCATACAACTGTGTTTGAAGACTCCTTATCCAATGATCTACCATGCTTACGCTTTGTCTAGAAGATCAATCCTTGGTCCATCACTCCATCAGTATACTTCTTAGAGTAGCACCTATAAGAGTCAAATTATATTTTCAAAATCACAATCTTCACTGAAGTGCAAGAATTGAAAACTGAATACTAAAGTTTGGTAAGTTAGAGACGAAAATAAAATGCAGCACAGAAATCAACATTATCAGCAAATATATAATTGAACCTACCGTTATAAGCTTTCCAACATTCTCAGGTCTCTTACCAACTTTAATAGAAACAACAGCTGCGACTCCAAAAGAGATGCCAGTCTGATCATTAAAATTTCAAAGATTGCTTAATCATTCCCAAGAGTACAATTACAACAAAACCCAAATGTTGTCCTTTTGAGGATTTTAAGATCTATAGAAGGACCCATTAAAATTTCAAAGATTGCTTAATCATTCCCAAGAGTATCAAGATATTAATATGGCAGAATGAGCCTTCTATAGCAATAGGCTATACCCACAGTTGCAAAATTACTCACAATCTATAGTGTTGTGTTGGAAATTAGTTGTACTTCATATAGTGTATCCTTCTCTTCCTTTGCTGCAGAAAAAACGTTATGAAGGTTATTCCAAACAAACTGTAAAACCCATGAGTCCATCTGAAAGCAATGATCATATTTCACCAAGTAATCAGTTCAATACTTACACCTTAATTCTCATCAATACTGAACTAGCATTCCAACTCGAGAAGATATTAAATATTTTTTTGTAACCTGCTAATACAGTTGTGCAAATAATCATACAAAAATATTGAACCTTAAACGAACTACGTATAACGGTAATAATTTTAGATTGCTTCAGACTTGGTATAAACATTGTATTAAGAAAATGAAATTCAACTTAAATTTAAGGCATTTTCACGATGTTCTAATGAGCCGACATAAAGCCTAACGGAGGTTTTATTGTAGAGCATAAGCACATCAGACTATTCCCTATCAGGTGCTGACTGTCGAGCTTACAACACCTGCTAATCCCATGATTTACATAAAAGCTATATCATAACAAGAACAAATCTATCAATTACCATTCATATCGCACTTCCTTTATACCCGAGATAGCAACACAGCCTGTAATTTTTACCAAAATTACTGTGAGAATATAACTACTCATTTCATGCCAAACGCAGTAGCAACAGTGCTCGATACACTAAAAATTCCACAACTAATGTCAAGTAGTCTGAGAGGCATTTTCACAAACAAGTTAGCCGCAAAAATGCTCGACCAACATGACATACACCGATTTTTGCTCTCAGAACGTAACAAGCAACATTATTTTCTTTCTCTGCTCTCTCAAATCAATCAAAACACCTTGGAACATCGCTACTCTCAATTTCATTCCCCGATTTTGCTCTAAAAAATAAGGCGCTAGATTATTACTGATTTTGGAACTGTGAGAACAGAAACCCTAACAAATGCTCGAGAACGTGAGGGAGGATAGAAAATGGAAGAATTTACCAGTCATTTTCACCGGAGAAAAACATAGCGAGTTCGTCGGAGATTGATCGGAGATGGTATCACGATCGCTCAAAGTGTTATATGAGCAAAATTTTGTTTGGCAAAAAGGACTAATTGAGTAAATTGATTCTGAAGAGAATAAAACATTCATCTCAATGGAGGGAAAAAATGGAGCGAAGACATAAAAAATGATCTTTAGTCTGTTCTTCTCTATTGCCACAAAAATGTTTTTATTAACGGCAAATGGTCAATTGCCATTTTATTAAGCGAATTAGCGGCAATTATCTTATTGCCACCAAATAATTACCGCCAAAAGGCTTTTTTGTTGTAGTGTGCATGCGCAGCTGTTACTTCTTGTTGAATTACAAAACTTCTTTTGCATTTGTTATTAAACTGTAGAATTCCCTTCTTCAAAATCTTTACGTAAAGAATCATGACAATTTGTAGATGAGCAGATGGGGAGTTTTTTCTTTTAATCTTCAGTTTTGATCCCCATTCTAGATACAACAGATTTATATATCTTCAGCATTTAACCATATTCATGCCCTTTACATCCTAACTACTTTCGAATTGACCAGCTGACCATAAGTTTGCTTATTTTTTCTTCATCTTTTGTCTTGGAACAGTGTATTACATCGTTACCCCAAGCCTTCATATACTGTCATGGGAAGCACGTAATACACAAAGACATCAAGCCGGAGAATCTTTTGGTTGCTGTACATGTATATATTTAGCATTGGTAAATATTTTATAATATGCATTGCAGTTTAAATGATGGAACACACATTAATTATTTTTAATATTTGTGCCTCAAAATGGGACACTTTGAGTGGTCAGTGCACACCTTTAACCGGAAGCGGACTATGTGTGGCACTGAGATATTCATTGTGTGTTAATCGAAAGCAGACGCCCATCGTTACATGGGCATGTTCTTTCTGAAAAGCAAAAGACTCAAGGAAAATTGGAGAGCATTGTGATTATTCCCGTAGCTTTACTGGAAAGTTTTCATCTAAGCTACCTTGGAAAGAGACTCTCTTTTCGATACTCTGCTGAAGAAGACTCATCTCACATAGTCGAAGAGTATTTCCAAAACACAATGGGTGAAACCTTCAGCCATCTTGGGTAAAACAACATGACAACTTGTTGACTACTTTTTATTTCCTTTTTTTCTTGAATATAATTGCGCAGGAATGTTTTACAACAACAACAACAAGCCATTATAATCCCATTAGTGGGGTGTGAGGAGGGTAATTTGTACGCAGACCTTACCCCTACCCTGGGGTAGAAAGACTGTTTCCGATAGACCCTCGGCTCCCTCCCTCCAAGAACTCCCCACCTTGCTCTTGGGGTGACTCGAAACACAATCTCTTGGTTGGAAGTGGAGGGTACTCACCACCACTTGAGCAACCCACTCTTGTCAATGTTTTACAAGAATACTGCAATTCAATGAGTACACTTTCTCTAGAGATCATGGAACTTTTGGAAATGGGCTTAGGCGTAGGGAGGGAACACTTCAAAGATTTTTTTTGGAGAAAATGAATCTATACTTAATGAGATCCACCATGTCAGAAACCAGACCTCACTTTAGGGACACATTGTGATCCAACATCATTAACCATTCTACATCAAGATTGTGTTGGCGGGCTTCAGGTTGAATGGCGCTCTATCAGTCCAAATTTCAACGCATTTGTGATTAACATAGGCGACACATCTATGGTAAGCGAATTAACGTACTAGAAAAAGTATAATGTTCTGTTGAAATATAAAGAGAGACAAACAATATACTACTCCATATTTTACGTGAAAAATAATTATAAGGTTTCATGTTGGCACCTTTCTTGCTCTTCTTACCTTTTGTGTTTTTGTACTCAGTACAACATGATTTCAAAAAATAAAAATAATCAAATAATCTGGGACAGAGGGAATACTCTATAAATAAACTTTTGTTACAATATTAAAATAACAATAGCAAACTCTGCAGCGCTATCGGAAAGACAGTTAGGACATGTATGTTAGCTACGATAACAACGACTAGATTACAAATGAATTAATTGAATGTAATTCTCAAGTTTTTAAATCAAGAATACATAATATACATCATGAGTACTTAGGAAGTACAAAATGATGCCCTGTTGATATTGTTGCAGCAAAAACAAGTTGAATTATTTATAGGTTATGAAAAAGTGATCATGTAATTCAGTACGTGGGGTAACATTTTTGGTTGAATTTTGCCCTTTTGCAGGCCGGCGCTTTCGAATGGTTCCATACAAAAGTTTCTTGCATAGAGCAGTGGTAAACAACAAGACTCCTAGGAAATCACTTGCTTTCTTTCTTTGTCCAAAGAAGGATAATGTAGTGAGCCCAACAAACAACCCTAGAATATATCCCTACTTCACATGGCCTACTCTCCTTGAGTTTACACAGAAGCATTACAGAGCTGATATGAACACTCTTCAAACTTTCTCAAATTGGCTTCAACAGAAAACTACACGAGTTTAAGAGCTAAGACAACTTCATCGACATACATCTCATGAGATTCAAGATTAAATATATATTGAGGTACTATATTAGCATGGCTTCATGTGGTATCTTTTTTCTTATTCTGTTTTAAATAAAAATCTTTTATTTTCACATAGCAAGTATGAGAATTTAGCTTAGCAAATCTTAACTGCTTTTACATGTTGTGTTATACATTGGTTGCTGAAGTTGCAGTGGAAAGTGTGGAGCATGACGCAATGAGGACATTTGGAGCCTTGGTATATATCCTATGCTTGGTTGTCGTCCATAGAGCTATTCGGTCAGCTCTATTATGCTCTACTGTATATACTGGGTTAAACTGTTGAAATTTCGTTTTTCGCTTTCCCATCTATAAGATGTTTATTTTTTCCTTCATTCAAGATGTATATTAATCAACTCTTTGCTTTTCGAAAAATTTAATGCAATAACTAATGTTTATTAATTTAACTCTGTGTAAAAAAAATCTGTCTACAACGGCATATCTATAAGTTCTTGCTGTAAAGAAAAATGGTTATACTATGTGTGTACTCCATGGCTCATCATAAAAGTAGAGATAGTATCGTTGTGTAAAAGAAAAAGAAAAGGGGAAGTATTAAAACGTAAATGTATCTTTCTGCTTCTTTCTATTTATTTTAATTTGTGCTTGTTAATTTCAGTTTCATAGATAGTTTACTTTTGGTTAGATCAGTTGAATAGACGGATTAGATATTGGTTGCATAAATATATACGTATTTGCTGTTTTATAATGTTAACTTTTGTACTTCCTTTGTGTCAATTAAAAAATTATGAGATGCTTAAACTATGAGCATTGCGCGCATTTTGTTTGTGGCAATTTGGGTATTGTGTACCGAAATTGTGATAATTGTAACCATCCGATGCCTTACATCCACAACAGCTCCAAACCTCATTAAGAAACTAAAAACTGGAGGGACATATAGTATTGACAAAGTGGAGCAAAGTGAACATTTTGAATATGCATTTAGTTCTGTTAGGTGAAACTTTTGCAGCTTGCTAAAATTTGAGTGTACAGACTGATACGTTGTAACGCTATGTCTGCTATTCTATGACTCAATAAGTGATTAGAACCTCTCTGGATACTTTTTCACCTTATTTCTTAGCTTACCATGAGTAATTTATTTCAATTTATGGCGTTGTGTTAATTTGAGTTTTATAACTGCTGCACTGTTGGTCAACTTTTTGTCCTTTTCAGTTCTACTTCTAATTAGTTCCAATGAATTCTCAGATAAATTTCATGTATTATGGAGATAATGATCTACACCTGATTTCTATTGAGTTGTGACATGTTGTAACTCTACATCTTGCATTAGTTATCAGAGTTCGCTGCTGCTCATGCGTAATTTATTTTAATTTGTGGCGTTTTATTAATTTGAGTTTTATAGATGGTGCACTGTTGATTAAATCGGCTGAATAATCGAAAGCTCGCTGTTTTTTTCCATTTAGAACATTTGAGGATGTGAAGATATTAGACTCTTTGCACTTCTTCTGTATCATTTGTTTTCTTTATTACTATTTTATTTTAGATTGAACTGCACAAAATAATATGCTAAATTGAACAATTCTTCAATATAGTTTACACAATACTCACATTAGCAATATAAGTTTTTTCGTACAGATTGCTAAGCAAACACATTTTGTTACCTTTTTATTCACCATGTTATGAGAACATGCCCATTTGGATTAAAGATATGTTCGATAGATTATGAGTGCATGGTCTCACTTGAATTCTCTTTGTTGGGATTTTAAGCTTGTGTAACTTAAAGAAGGTGAATGAGAAATGGAGGGAAAATGAAATATTTGAGTTTCCCTTGGGAAAGGGACATTGTCCCATATCGGAGAAAGAAAAGGCTTTTGATGGGTATATATATAATTGCTCTTCTTCTAGCTCTTAAAGAGTTAAGAAAAAGACAAGTCTCGCGTCGTCGTCGCTCGGCTTCGGATTTGGAAATCTTTTTGGACAAAATTTCTTTCCCGGATACGAAATTTTTCTGAGCTTCTTCTTCTTCTTCTGCACAATATTTTCCAGTGTGTTTTACGACCATTGAGTGGTTCGCAGTTCATCAGAGTTTTTGGTACCAATACACTGGTGAGTTAAATCGTTCTATCCTGGGAGGATATATTCCAGCACCTCGGGTACTTGAAGGGAATAATTTCCTTAAGGACACACTGTGTATTCAGTGGGCTCGATTTATTCATATACTGTTTTTTTTTTCAGAATCTATTTCGATAAACAAGTATTACTAACTTTCTGTTTTGTTTTTCCAGAAAGTTTAATTGTTTATTACAGCAATACCGAAAATATAACATTCTTAAGGAATTTTTTTTTCCTGTATTTTGTTTGTGGAGATTAAAACCTGTGTGATTTTCTACTCCTTCTGAATTTTACTATTCTGATTTGAAGATATAAAAACTTCATCAGAGTATTGAAATTCGTAAAACGATTTGAAGAACATAAAAACTTCATCATTTTTCTGTAAAACAGTATATAAAAACTTCGGTTTTATTTATTATACATATTATTTTTTTTGTTAATAACAGTATTGTGCACTGTTCTGATTTTGCCATTAATTGAACTCTTCTGTTGTTTACAGTGAGAAATAACAATTGATAACGGAAATTCTTCTCCGACTATTGTGGCAACGACGATAGCCTCGTCAAGCCGGACTGCTGTTCCACCGGCAGAGAATCCGGGAAAATTTTCCGGAGCCAACTTCAAAGGATGGTAGCAAAGGGTGTTCTTCTGGCTTACCACACTTGGTATGCAGAAATTCACTAGTGAAAAACCTCCAGTGCCTGCTGCGGACATGCCGGACAACGAGAAATTCATGATTGTTGAGGCGTGGAAGCAGGCAGATTTTCTTTGCAAAGGCTATATCTTAAGCGCTTTAGAGGATGACTTGTACAATGTGTACAGTGTGATGAATACTTCGAAAGAATTATGGGTCGCACTTGAGAAGAAGTACAAGACTGAAGATGCATGCTTCAAGAAGTTCGTGGTTGTCAAGTTTCTAGACTATAAAGTGATAGACAGTATAACTGTTGGAACCCAAGTTCAGGAGCTTCAACTTATTTTTCATGACCTTATTGCTGAAGGTATGGTCGTGAATGAAGCATTT